TGGAGGTTCGAGCTAGGCCTGTTATTGGTCCTTCAACAGGAGATGCATAGCTTATTGGTGTTGGACGTTTTGCTATGTAAGCAAAGCCGGCTTCAGTAATGCCATTCCAGGTGCGAGCTTTTCCAATACGCTGAGGATCTAAGTTCGAAACAAGTGGTCGAACAATATGGGAGCTGAGGGCCCTATCGCCCAACTCTGAGTTCCCTTGTGATGGCCTCTACGAACCGCTGCTCATCCAGTTCGACCATCGTCAGACAATGCGCTCCGCTGGAGCTATGCCAGGCTCAAATCATTGGGTATGCTCTTACCACACTTTGCATAGGCTTAGTGTCGTCATCAAAGTCTATGCTTCTTGAAGAACAGTTCTCAATACGTGCTGGATGGTCGATAGTGGTTACCCGTTTCAAAAATTCAATATCGTTGTAGCACCTCCGGCTTTCGCTTTGACGGATGCTTTCTGTCGCTTATATTGTCTGGAGCTATGTGAAGTAGGGCTCCATTGGCTGCTGGCTACTAGCAGTTGCAATGTGTTGTGAAACGGAAGAATAGATTGTGTTGTGTTGTGTTGTGTTGTTGGAGGTTCAGCGCCCTGAGTTGACTAGAAGCTGCCCAATTCCGCGATGCAGCTAGCAAAACTCTCTTCCTTGACAAACAAAAAACGAAAATCGAAAGACCTAATTTGGGGGTAGATCATAATTGCATGCGTTGTATATCTTTGCAAGAAAACACGGTGTCCGTGCAATACTCAACATCGTCATGGTGTAAGGGCAACAGGCTTTCAATTTGAAGATGAGGGGTTAGGTCCCCAGAAAATTCGAAGAGTTGGAAAGACATTCACAGTAGCACCATGATGGACAGTATGTACTGATATTTTGAGCGAGATGTGTTCCCTTGAAGACTCACCTCTGTTGTTTGGGATCATGTCTGCTTGAATCGCTGGCCAGGTAGGTTAGCTTTGCAAGGTCGACAATAAAACAACAAAAGTGTTTCATAACTCATGGTAAGCACAGTTTATACGGCCCGCTTCAAGATCACTTAGGCTATTGAAGCATCGCAAAAATGCACTTTCTGTTCGAGTGCATCCGTAGGTTAAAGGTCGGAGGTGAACCCATGCGTAGCAGTTGATGCCTCAGGCTTCCTCGGCGACTTGCATATCGATGAAGTCACCATGCGCCGCTGTTGGCCTTGCCTTCAAACACAGGCGCACGACTCGATCATTGACACCTGCACCTCTCTGGTGAAGTACTCAATCAACCCAACATCAAGATGTCGCTGACCGAGGCGTGTTGTACGTGTGCCACTGTGCTTGCAGACACCAAAGTCCCCTACGATACAGAGAACGAAAAGCCGTTGGCTTTGGATCGAAGACTTGATTGCTGCGGACGAACCATATGCGCCACCTGCCAGTACAAGAATGATAGATTTCGATCATATTGTCCATTCTGCCAGATATCGACGCGGCCGTCGGCACTACCTGCTGAGGGCCTTCGGTTGCCTCCATCCTACGGGGACAATGAGAAGGGCCGCAAGATGATGGAGCCTCCTCCTGCTTACGACTCTCTTCCGCCTCTGAACCAGGCCACATCCAGCCATTCTGCAATACGGCCACCGGAACATACAGAAGATACTGTTCACTTTCTATCGTCTGACGATACACTGCACTCGGTGTCGTTAGCCTATCAAGTTCCACAACATGTGCTGCGCAAACACAACAATCTTTTCTCCGACTCGCTGCTCATTGCCCGCAAGTTCCTTCTGGTACCACGCTCGCACTACAATGGCCCGCCATTGTCAGCGCCGCCAGATCCGGAGGAGGAGGAACGGAAGAACAAGGTTAGGAGATGGATGGTTGCCACCAAGTGTGCTGAATATAACATGGCACAATTGTACCTAAAGGGCAGTCAGTACCACCTCGAACCCGCCATCGACGCATTCAAGGCAGACGAGCAATGGGAAAAAGACCATCCCATGGCCAGCAAAGGGAAGCAGAAAGATTCCTCCCAACGCAGGAGGTTTGGTGCTTCGCTTGTTGGACAACTGTCATAATCCAAAGGCTACTCATCCTTGCATCTCGCCCAGTCTGTAAAGGATGTTATGTTTTCATGTTTCCTGCCTCCTCTGTTGACGTTCAGCAAGATTAACCACGCATAATAACAACTGTATAAAAGGCGTGGGCCATGTTCATCTGCCTCCAGTCGCTTTGTTGCCGACTGCGATGGGTGAAGTTGATCTGGATTGGCCGCTTCTGTGGCAGGCAGGCAGGCTTTTGCAACTGCAAGCGGACAGTAACCGTTGCATTTTTTGGGTAGCGCAAACACGTTTCCCTATGCTTCCGATGTACTCCCGATGTACTTCCGTCTCGGTCTTGCTTAAACTTGGTGACAGTGTCGGCGAAGCCTTTTTACTGGGTCGAAGATATCGCTGGATCTTGGCTCTGCATCTCGAATAATTCGATTCGACGCAACGGCTGCCGACCACGCCTTGATGCCCATGCATCTCGATATCTCGAAGCACCTATCTCGATTACAAACCTTGCGGAGTACCTCAGAAACCGCGTGTCTGGACCATTTTCGAGTCAGAACCCCGCATCATCCATGACTCGCTCTCCCTTGGCAAGCTGTCCAGTTCCCTTCCCCATGGCTGACCATGACTTGGCGTTTCTTGGCGTTTCTTGTCGCAAATATCATTCGACAGGGGACCCATTTCGTCTCGATAGTGGTACTGGGCGTTACAGTTCCCATGTGCAATAGCCTTTGATCTTGACCATGCATTGTTCAGGTCCACGAATATAACGCGGAAACGAAGCAGTCCCCGCCATAACATGGCCATACACAGACGAGGGACAAGAAGGAATCGGCCGAAAATCCACTTGATCTTTGCCCGAGGGCTGAGAATCAGCCCATGCTCTTTGCGCTTTTGCTACAATATAAAGAATGCTCTGACCGCTTCCCCACGGGAAGACAACACGCTTCCCACCTCATCGTCCTCCGCTCTGCTCGCTGAACATGGCCGACTCTAAAGACGTCGTTGCTTCACAAATCGAGCAGGCCGACATCGCTTCCTCCAATGACTCTTTACGAAAGGATGAAGAGCAACCGGTGTCTGACCAAGACTGGACACCAGAAGAAGAACGGAAGCTAGTGTAAGGCCGTCTATGACTTCTTCTCACCTATTGCTGATCAAGAATAGATGGAAGATCGATTTTCGAGTCTTTCCAATGCTTTGCATTGTTTTCGGCCTCTCTCTTCTTGACCGCACCAATATTTCCGCCGCCTACATTGCTGGACTTGCCAAAGACCTCAAACTCAACATTGGCGCCCGCTACTCAGTCGCACTTCTTGTCTTTTTCATCGGCTATTGCATCTTTGAGCTTCCCTCAAACTTCATCATCCGCCGCCTCGGAGCGCGATGGTGGCTCAGCTTTCTCATAACTGCATGGGGTTGTTGTGTTCTCGGCATGGGTTTCATCCACGATTGGAAATCATTGACTATTCTCCGCGCCTTTCTTGGTATCTTTGAAGCTGGTCTATTTCCTGGCGCCGTTTACATCATCGGCTCTTGGTATCGACAGTACGAAACGGCAAGACGCATCTCCATCTTCTACATGGCATCTCTCTTATCCTCAGGCTTCGGTCCGATCTTCGCCTACGCTCTCTCGCTGATCAGCGTTGGTAGTGGCATGTATAGTCATGGATGGCGCTGGATCTTCATTATCGAGGGTATCGCTACCGTTGTAGCAGGCTTGATCAGTCCATTATTCCTCATCGAGTTTCCTGAACGAGTCACGTTCCTTAACCCAAGGGAAAAACACATCGCAACCACACGCGTTAAGATCGATAAAGGCCGCGAAGACGTTGTCCACCCGAACGTGAAGCAAGTTTGCGTTATGCTCCTCGACTGGAAGCTCGGCCTTTATTCCATTCAATACTTCGTCGCAGCCTCTTCAGTTTACAGTCTAGCTTACTTCCAACCCATTATTTTGCGCGAAGGCATGGGTTTCTCCTACGCCAAAGCGCAATTGCTCTCCTCGCCTCCCTATATCTTTGCCATTTTCGCTTCGATTGCGTTCGCTTACGTCTCCGACAAGATCCGAATGCGCTGGCCGGTCATCTGCTCACAGGCACTTATCGGCATCATTGGGCTGCTTGTGATTTTATACGCCAAAGCACCTGGCGTCCGCTACTTCGGCCTCTTCCTGGCAGTCTTCGGATGTCAAGCGAACGTGCCTGGGACCCTGGCATATGGGAACAATCAGACTGCAAGAACTGAAAAGAAAGGCGTTGTAGCGGCTGCGATGATCAGCTCGGGCGCTCTTGGAGGTATTACGGGAAGTACGATTTTCAGAAGCCAGGATGCGCCCACATATCTGCCGGGCATGTGGAGTACCATCGCGATGTTGATGTTGTATATTGTTATTACAATCTCGCTGTCGATGTATTTCAAGAGGCAAAATAGATTGGCCGATGAAGCAGAGAGGGAGGGGAGAGAATATGTGCTTGAGAAAGTTCGTGGATTCCGCTATGCACCCTAAAGCTGGTGATTGAATAACACAGGTCCATGCCTCAGCTACGAGGTGGTCTAGAATAAAGCTGATAGTAGCACAATGACCCCAATGATCTTCAACAACGTATTTACTCCAAACCAAATGTATTTGGCACATGAAGCCAATTCTGACGGAGCGGCTGCTTCTATAATAGTTTGGGACAAACACGTCATACCTGCAAGTAACGCTCAAGTAACCAGATATTAACTTTGCGCATACAACGCTTAGCCTTTGCCCTTGGCAGGAACGACCCGTAGAGTAGGAGAATTAATAAGCTGAGTAATTGATAGTTTTAAGAATGTTTGTGTAATAAGTGAGCTTACGTCCCTGGGGGATGGTTTTGGTACTCATGTAGTAGCTTGGAGAAAGCTGCTAAGCGGATCTAAGACAGCCCCGCTAAGTAATTGATATTTTGCAGCACCAGATTTTCGATCACAACAGCTCACAGAGCTTGGGCGGGCGCGTGGCCTAATGGTAAGGCGTTGGTTTTCGGTTGCCCAAATGTGATCCACCAAAGATTGTCGGTTCGAACCCGGTCGCGCTCGGTTCAGACTGAATCGCGCAACTTTACTGTTGTCATACTTCTTTTTTGCTTTGATTTTTGGATGGCATCTTCTGTGTACATATCATAGAAGGACAATCACAGGCACAATCCTATGTCGTCTTGTCACATCTTTTGTTCCAGAGAGTAACATGCAGTCTCAGTTTAACACGCGCCGTAATGTCTCATCGCACCTTTCGGCTAATTTAAGAACAATGACATAGTAATGTTTGGCTTGCGTCCAGACACTCCTTTCCTTGGCGACTCGCTGCGTTTATGTGTTGCTACTCACTGCAGTGGAGTTCAACATGTGTGTCTGCTGGTCAAGTTAGGGTAAGCCACTATGCAGGAGTGCATCTACAACAAGATCAAACACTTATCAGCAGTGCAGCATACATAAGATGCAGAGTGAGGTGCTACGCATTCTATGCAAAGAATGATACCATATCTCAGGCTTCAGGGACTTTTGGTGCTGCTACTGCGATCTTGATACCCTCCTGTCAGGGGTACGAGTGCCAGCATCCCTATCCGATGACCGCCACCACGTATGTCATGCCGTGTTTTACCACAATCGAAGTGATCTACAAAGCTGCAGCAGCTATATCAAATTGACGACAGTCGAATATGTGGAGACACGAATCAGTTTCCGAATCAATATCGACCATATCATCAGGCCATTGCGCCACGCAGTTTCATGAACGAGGCCTGATCTGACCAGGCAGAAGATAGATTGTCGCATTAGGAGGGAGGGTCCGCAGTTTCACAGAATATGTGGAGGATAAATACATTGTTGATAGAAGCTGACATGATCTGCATCAAAGTACACAAGCAGAGACGGACAAGGCGGTATGTGGCTGTTTAGGTAGCCTGATATCACTGCCCCAGGCCAACAGACTTAATCAGATTTGTACTAAGTGTGGAGTACTTCTGACGAAAAAAGCTAGCTTATCCAGTTATCTCCTGACTATCCGATATCCGTAAGACATTCAGCGAAAATGGATCAAATAGGGAAGTTGCCGTCGCGGTGGCGCACGTGGGCATCATTGATCTCGTCAAACTTGGCTTTAGTCAGAATCAGCCGTTGGAGCTAAAGATGTACCGGCACAGCTGACCAGGACAATGAGATTGGACATGTAATGGTCTGAATGCTTCATCAATGGTTATTCTTTTCCAACTCGTGAATACGAGGTTAGGCAAGCAAAGTAGGATCGATGAGGACTCTCGGCAGGACGATAGTACCGCATTAAAGCACAATATGCAGCACAAAACCTTTATGTTCAACTTGTATTACGACGTTGGACGCGCAATCGATAACAGAAAAAGGCGTGCGCGCGAGCATTACTGTAAGCCATCTAGTCATGGTCGCAGAGTTTCCGAGGTTTCCGTACCAAGGCACTGTCCCACTACTGCAGGAACCAGGCAAGCTTAAGATCGCACCAAAGGATTGGCTAGGCAAAACTGCACCAAACAGATTGTGATGCGGAAAGCCTCGCTGAAAGTTAGCACAGAAGAGGGTGTGCACCATACAGCTTCGCAGAACACATGAGCAGAATTTTCCCACCTGTCCCATGTGGTGAGATGATTGCGGACTACACAATAGGCAGTAAGCGTTAAGTACACCCCCTGCAGATCCAATCACAGTGCAGGATCCAGGTTGTCTGGGAACTCGATGGTGCTCAAGACTTCTTGATGACGACAGACGGGTTGGTGGTTTTCCAAACTGACGAAGCTAAAAAGATAATCCTGCCAATCGGCAAAAAGACTTGCTTGCCAGGCACACGAATCTAGGAAAGCAAGGTCTGACTATTGCTCACGGATTCAAGAGGCGGCCAGCATTATTGTCTTGCTGTTCCAGCAGGACCTGCTCTACTATTACTACCGTACTATCTCACTGTCACGCAATCTTGCGATATCCATTCATTCTCTTTGTAGTCGCGATTCAGAGCCTCGTTCGTTGTTATTCTTAATAAAGGTCGTTCATTGTTCACTGGCCTATTGAGCACGAAGACACTCTCCCAACCGAAATCCTTCAGCAAATATTCATCATGACCGCCATCACTACCATTGGCAATACACAACAGCCTGCCTGGCAAGCACACAAGTATGCCGACAGTACAGATTCCGAAATCTCATATTTTGAGCCATCAACAACATCAACGTGCGATAGCTGGACTGGATATTTCGAAGGATGGCAAGGTGATTCACAGGACCATTTTTGTCCTCAGATCGCTTCCCAAAACAACTCACCGTCCCGAACCAAAGAGAACCAACATGATCAGTCACTTGTGGAGGAGGATCTCTTACCCACGGCTTGCTCACGCCGGCAAAGGCCGACTTCTGTGAGGATGGAAGGATCGTACCTCAGCCCTATTACAAGACCTGCCAAAAAGAAGCGGTTTGGCATTGTGCCGCATGCAGACTCGTACACGGGCAACGAAGCGATAGCTCGACTCAATGGATTACTCCAAAGCTCGATGTCAAACACCGAAGACATCCTCGCCGCTATGTACAATTCAGAGTGGGATATCTCATCATTACAAAAATGGTATGAGCAATCCTCACGGACACCATCCGATCTCGCACTGTTCAAAATTATGTTCAGTCTACGCTACACACCTGACGAAGAACGACATTCTATTTGAACTCCTGTACATAATCTGACCTGCAGCGGCTCCCACTGCATCTCAATCCCAGCTTCAGCATTTACGACGATTGATACCATTTGAAGAATAGTTGTACAACATATCAGCAACAATGATTACATTCATGTGAACGACGGACCTTTTTGCTTGTTCACTTTTTACAGCCGGTTTGATGATCAACGGCTATTCATGGAGGCTTTCGATACCCAGCAACATTCTCCTTTAGTTTTTAGCAAGCAAACAAGGCATTTTTGATGGGTGGGACCTTGAAACAATGTCCCAGGGGAATTGGCATGGATGTTGGCGCGAATACATAGCTACTGGTACAAACCTTTCGTCATTGCTGCCGCAATAACACGACATAGCATGGGCCAGAATACTGATTGTTATGTCGATCCATATTTGATGAAACAAAGACTGGAGTACTGTCATTTTCTTGAGCAGATCCCTGTAAAGAGTAACGGGCAATTACAGTGCATCGTTAAGGAAGAGGCTCTTGGCATTTCCTCCTGCTCGCAAAGGGCAGTGCCTCAGCGCCTAAAAATCATCGGGGTTGCGTGCGAGGCCGTTAAGAGCGCCCACTACGCGTAGCGGACTTGGTCTGTGCCAGCCAAGTGATGTCAATGCGGGTCTCTATGACGGCATGATGCTTTCGATTCGTAGCTGCCCACACTGCAAGCTGACTGGAAGAGCCCCCAAGCAATCGTTGTTGAGCAAACAACTTGTCCGCACCTGCGTTCATCAAATTCTTGACGTAGACAGTTACCTCTTGCCTTTGATCAGGTGCTAGTGACCGTATGTAGCGATGTCGTCGTGCGGCTCTGGTTTCCAATAAAAAGTAAATTCAAAGCAAGAAGTCCTTGCTCTTTTGGAGGATCTCTTCAAGGCAAATCATCTAACGGCTGAATAACGTGCAAGGCCTGCTCATCGTTTTTGCTAGTCACTGCAAGATTACGCAGATAGTGCACAACCCCATTACCTTTTTCGTTTGAGATCGTGAACTTCCTCTAGACCTACCTGAGAAGCCCGCATTAATCATTCTTTCGCTGCTGATTCTTTGTCAACATATCGACTGCGTGTTAGGACGAAGAGCATACCACGAGTCTCAGCGGATCAAGCATTCATTAAAAGGACTGTCTAGACGTAGTTTCGTCATCGCGAGTTGAATTGATCCAGCCTGAAGCAAGACATCGCTTTGTCATCATTCTCACACCCCTCCATTCTCTTTCACAACCTACGCCTGGTACAGTTTCAGCTTACCACACCCCCTAAGCAAAGATGTCGACGCATATACAACAGTTCAAAAACTTCATTCGCCATGGAAAGCAGGCACGAGTTGCTGATCCCCCCAGAGACCAGCCGACAACCAACGTATCGAATGTTCACGCTCAGCACAGTAGGCAACCTGCGCATGGGATAAGTGAACCGGCAATCGGTCATCAGAAGCAGGCAGCATATCAAGCACCCGGAGCTCACCCCGGGGAATACTCAGTCGCAGGTGGAGCTGATCATCGCAATGTTGCAGCACAAGCAGCTGGAAATGCTGCCAATGCCGCAGGGAAGAACCAGAAACTCCAGATTGATCAAACCGCCCTTGCCGCCTTGGTCGCCGAAGAACGAGAAAAAGCTTCCAAGATGCCCCGATATCCCGGCCTTGAAAGATTCATTTTGATAGAGAAGATGGGTGATGGTGCATTTAGTAATGTCTACAAAGCAAGAGATACACAAACAGGAGCTGAAGTCGCAATCAAAGTGGTGCGGAAGTTTGAGATGAATTCGAATCAGGTATGCCCATTGCCAGTTTTTGCTATCTCAACATCCTCGATATCGTCATTCTCTACTTTGTGTTGATCACGGCCAACATTATTAATCTTGCAGGGCGATGCTCACCTACACCCCGAGTTCAAAAAACAACCGAAAGGAGTGGAGGTTAGCACTTCTCTTTCCTATCATCTGCTTGCTCCGGCGATATCGAGGATGCTTCAATTCCAATTTGATTGTTCCATGTACTGACAAAACTTTTGTGCAGAGAGCCAACATCCTGAAAGAAGTTCAGATCATGCGACAGCTTGATCACCCCAATATTGTTAAACTCATCGACTTTTCGGAATCGCGACAACACTATTACATCGTCCTAGAACTGTGTCCAGGCGGTGAACTGTTCCACCAGATTGTTCGATTGACCTACTTTAGCGAGGACCTGAGCCGGCATGTTATAGTTCAGGTTGCCAAAGCATTGTTGTACCTTCACGAAGAGAAAGGCGTTGTTCATCGGTATGTGCTCTTCGTCGAGTAACCAACCGGCTCTAACTTTTCCCAGTGACATTAAACCAGAGAACCTACTATTCTACCCTGTGCCCTT